GATCACATGATCACGGCGGCCAATTGATATCGCCGTTGCGTGAGATAATCCGACCAAGAAACTTGCCCCGCAGTAATTGCATCGTTTCTCTGGATGTGTGACAAGTGGGTCCATTCTGTTGGAACTACAAATCTTCAATGTCCATACCTTCCAACTGTTCCCAGAAAAAATCAGATATCATGTTTCGACAGCGAATACCGTTAACCGTAACAGCGTTCTCCGTTCGCGAAAAAAAAAGTTCCAATTATTCCTCCGCACCAAAATGCGCACCAAACAGTCACTTTTTGAGGATGCATTGATTTTTGCACAATCTCTCTTGGATTTTCTAATCCCCAAATACGAGCATTGTATTTGTTTACAAAGCCACCAACGTGAAAATGTGCCTCATCGCTAAAGACGATTTTCGTTGAAAAATGAACCCCTTGTTCTCGTATCCATTCTGCAAACACGCGGCGCTATTGATGATGTCGAGGTTTCAACTCCTGAGTTATTTCGACTTTATATGGGCGTAGGTGCAAGTCCTTTGTTAAAATTCGCTGTGTGGTTGAATACGTAAGGCCCACTTGCTGCGATCGATGACGAATCGATGTGTTTGGATCTTCGGCTGCACTTTCGAGAACAATGGCAATATTTTGATCTGACCGACCTGCACGAGCACGTTGAGGGACTTTGAGGTTAGTTACAGATCCAGTTTGCGCAGGTCGATTTTGGGCTCCGAAAAATTCATGCATTTACATTTTTTCTTGATCGACCATTTTCATATTAGGCTTGCACAATTTTTACACGTTGTTCAGTCGTATATTGCTCCATGACTAATTTTGTTTATGTGTTGAGTTTAGAAATCTCATATGATAATAAACAAATACAGTGGCGTTTCAAAAATATGTCAGATTGTAATGTGGAAACTCTTATTGAATCACCCGTTGTATCTAAAAAAAGGAGAAAAGGAACTTACAACAATTTAGATTTGATACCTTCTATGAAGTAATGGTAAGAATCCCACACTATCAGGCAAGAGTATAAGAAAGCATTTGCATAGAGGAAAATATTCGCGATTTCTCGAAGACAAACTTTCACGCTTTTAAAACAAAAATGGTTTTAAATTAGTTTGTTTCCTTTTAATTGAGGTACACTATATGGGTTTGATTTTTGATAAACTGTAATTTTGAATACGAAACATTGTTATTATTATTGACGTTGTTTGACCGCACTTAAACCGTCCAATAAGACAAAAAATAAAAATCAAAATTCCGTCTTACGGGTAGGAGATTACCTGGATGCAACCCTGACATTATTTTCTTAAGCGTTACAAATTGGACGGATCCGGGGTGTGATTTAGAACCGGTATATTTTTCACGTCGAAAAAAGTCAACCCGACGAAACTAAGACAAATTTTCCGGTATATATTTCGGGGGCGAAGCGGGAGAAATTTACATTTTTATGCGAAGGGGCGCAATTACAAAGTTTTAAAGTGGCTACGGGAAACGAAGACGGAAACTTTCCCGCTGAAAAGGTCGGATTTTTGTGCACGCCTCGAGAACCTTTTGTTTTTATCCCTTTTTTATATTTTCCATTTATTACACCGTTGCAAATGTGTAAAATAAACTGCATAATTGTGTGTCCAATCCTTTAGTCCTTTTTGCCAACTGGAATCTTTACAAATGAACATTGGACTTCAATATAAATTCTAAATCGGCCATATTTCTTCCCGTTTTAAACAAAAACCGTCACCGCGAGTCTCTTCTTCTTCGCCCTCCTTTTTTCCGCCCCACTCCTGTGTCAGGGGTTTGTGCCGAGCCCTCCACCCTGCTCGAGACCTGGGGATCCTCCTCAGATCGACCTTCCTGAGAACGCCCCTGCTTGTTGGAGACCTCCTGGGGCCCGTTCTCGACGTTATACCCTGTGCAAGCCCTTAGCCACGACACGACAGGGTGAACAGGGTGAGCTGGTCCACGACTGGTTATTTGTCAGCTCTATTGGATTTTTACCTCCTCATGCCTCCTTATTACTAGCCACCCAGGCCTGTGAGAGCCTGGGCTCCCCTATCCGACACCCGGGGACACGCCTCATAGATTGCTCAACCGCAGAGGGTAAAGTATAAGTATTGCGATAATTACTACACTGTTCTATACTATAATTATATAATTAGAGAAATAAAGTAGCATTTTCTGAAAATACCTAGGTATTTCCTCTTATTTTCTAGATTTGGCCGTTACTGTTATTTCTAAATACTTACATATTGTTATTATTATATATTACTTAAATATTGTTTCTAAATAATTAATAAATACCTATTATCTCATAATCCGTTTTATAGGTAATTAATACTTATACGGATTTTAGATTACGTCTGAAAAGGGAACATCCGAACAACGAAAATAAGAAAAAATTGCATACTTTTTTCTAATGATATTTAGGTTAGACGACGGTAATAAGAGGATATTTTTGAATTGAACAGGGGTGGCTTTTACTTGATGAAAATCGATTTAACGACAATTAAATTAGAACAAAAAATGTTCAGATTTTCGATGTTATTTATTACTTTATGACCGCTGTTTCGACAACACCGTGCCTTTATCAAATACAAAATATGAAATATTCCCACATCTATAAATACAATCAGGTGGTAATAGATATATAATAATAATAATAATAACAATAAAGTTGACGAATTTATATTTTTTCGTAATTTAATTTTAATGTTTTTTTTTCTTTCTTTTATAATATTTAATTCTTGTTTAAACATTTCTGTGGAAAGTGGTATATTAAGTAGTCTATGTGGAGGGTGATTTGAGTTATTATGAATAACTGTGTGCGTGTGTGAGGGTTCACCATAAACCGTCGTGGTGGTTTACCATAAACCCTCACACACGCACACAGTCACCCTCACACATACAAAATGACTGCCTTTTATTCTTTGATCCACAGACTACTTAATATACCACTTTCCATAGAAAATTTTGAAAAAGAATTAACTATTATAAAAGAAATAGCATTTACCAATGGTTACTCGGAGCTATTTATCCCATAGTATATATCGAACCCAAAATGTATAAAACAATAAAATACATAGGAGAACCCAGCAAGAAAATTTCGAAACATCTATCTAAATTTGGTTTTAAGATTTTTTTTAAAACTGAAAACATCATTGCAAAAAGTCCGAAGCCTGATCATGTTCCAAAATGTATACCGGACAAACAGGTAGAACATTTAAGAGTCGCATTAAGTAACATGAAAGAGAGTATTAAAATAAAAGTTCGAATTCTACCTATGCCATTCATTTAAATTCAGAAATAAACAAGTTTGATGATAGTTTTGATATTTTACATAATAAAACAAAAAGCGAAAAATTTGTTGGAAGCTATGGAGATTAATAATATGAAATATTCGAATCTATTACTTAATGATAAATTATATTGATGGTATTTATAGATATCGGAATATTTCATATTTTGAATTTGATAAAGGCAGGTGGTTGTCGAAACAGCTGTCATAAAGTACTAAATAAGTGTAAAAATCTGAAGATATTTTTGTCTGATAATGATAAGGCGTATATTTCTATGCTTGATAAAAAAACGTTGATTTTTTCATTTTTTCTGTTTATTTTCGGAGCACCAACTTGTATACTTAATTATTCAAAAAACTTGTATATATACCTAGTGCTATACTTAAACTGCGCTGCCGTCTGTAGACGGGTTGTAAAACCTTCGGTAACTAAGGTAGAAATCTGTAGAAATTTTAATATCCCTACATTTTCCCTGGATTCCCGACGGGGGATACTGGCCAGTGGCTTTCCCATTCATTCATACCTGGTTCATATTTAAACTGTTTTTAGAATTTCTGGTATGGATAATGATGTCAAAAATTAATTTTAAATTGATAGCAAGGCGTATCTTATGCACTCCTGTGTATAATGTTCAATCAGAATATGCATCAGATTTCCGATTCATCCCTTTACAGGCAGACATGTATAGGGCGATTCAAATGGAACGTCGGGTTTGATAGGGAATTAAAATTAATTTATTTTCTTAAAAATAGCAAAAAAAAATCACATCACTCTCTTCAGACGTTTTTGAGGTTTGAAACATCAAAAATACTATCAGGCATATGACCTCCCCTACTAGTCTTTCATGTAATTACTGTCAATGAAATTCATCATAATTCGATGACACATCGATTTGGATTTCAGTTCCATCCAATTTGGGAGTTTGTTGTTTGACCGCTATCTACCAGCTCATTAAAACCAGTCACATGAAGTCACATGGTCGAGGTGGGTTGACTTAGTATCCTCGCAAGGAAGGTTGGGGAAGAAGGAATATCAGTGAGCATTGCATTACAACGAACTCCATTAAGAGTGACTGCATTCCCTTGTTAGTCTTTAAAAAAAATGGGTCGATCAGACCTCTATTCCAATTATCACATGACCGTAAATCCTTGAGGGTGTATTTCTCCTTCTTCAATGAAGCTTGGATTTTCAGATCCCCATATTTTGCAATTTTGCTTATTAATAAAGCGATTGAGATTTGAACATTTCCAAGACTTATTTGCAAAACTTGCGTCGTTTTCTGTGGTTGGTTGGTTTGAGATTCTCAGTTGTTTGCACTTTGTAAACCTCAATGATAACACATATCAAAATCGAAAAAAAAACGGCCCTTTCAAATCCAACGTTCTTTGTAAGTCATCTTTTAGTCATTCGGGTTGTAAAAATATCGAAACTTGTACGTACTATTTACAAAACTTCTGCATTCCTCCTGCATCGGTTGTCGTTGAATCGAACTTGCTGACGTTTCGCCAATCACCAAGTAGCTCTGAAGCTCCGAAGAAGCCAACAGGATGATTGGATCAGCAAGTTCGATGCAGGAAGAATCCAGAAGTTTCTTTGAAAAATTGGAACAGAATCCAGTACAGTACTATAAATTCCTATAGAAAGCAAGTAATTGCACCTAAACTTTCGACTAAAGTTATAATGTAGCGAATGGTACTTTAACAAACTAGTTTACCTTGGCAGGTTCAGTCGAAAGGAGCTGCTGCAATTGACTCTTGTTGCCGCCGCCGCCACTGTCCTGGCCGCTTTTCGGTGAAGTACTCGGAGGTGGGGCGTACTGAATGCAGCTAGAACCGTGAGGCGAAGCTGCGTCGCCAGACGCCGCACCCTGCGCAGGCGACATCGTGGTACTGCTGCTAGTCGCAGGGGGCGGACTATGGTGGTTCTCTGTGTGCCTCCTCAACGATCTAGCGTCGCAGTAACTCTTCCCGCAGCCTTCTGCCTTGCACTCGTACGGTTTTTTGTTGCGATGGGTTAGCATATGGCCGTTCCTGAGATTAAGGGTTCGTAATTTAAACATGGTGTTATAAGTTCAATCAAAGGACAAAATGGCATCCAGAAAGGGTTTTGAGGGCAATGTTTACTTTCTAGGGGGAGTCTCTGGCTGATTGGGGAGTTCAAGGGTATGGAACGAGTGTAGGTAGCGTGTTGGAATATATCTGTGCGCTTTGCATTGAAATGATAAAAGAGGGAATAAGTGACTTGTACTGATTCTTGTAAATTGCAGCTTTTAAGAACTCTGGGCGCTAAGTGGTGCCTGAGAAGTTCACGGTGATCGGTACATTGGATTGTTCAGAAAAGTAGCATTAAATTTTTTATTTATCTTCACCGGTTTTCGAGAGAATAATTATTTTTTGTTTATTTTTAATTACTACTTCACTGGAACCAATAAAAATTTAACATTTTCGACATAGCTTGGGAGATATCGAACATAATTTCTTAATATCGAAATTAGTTCAACATTATACAGGGTTGGTCAAGACTAACTACGCGATAAGAAAATGGTGGAAAGTGCTTTTTTTTAAATAGAACATTCTCTATATTACTGCATATTCAAAGGTCAAATTAAATGGTCCCTATACCTATATCGTTTGGCAGTTCAATAAAAATTTAATCATTATTGATTGTGGTGCAAATTTCGCAAATATAATCGGTTTAGAATGAAAGGAAACCAGTGTTCCAATACACTGTTTTGAATCTTTATTATGCATGGACAATGAAACCCAATTATTGCCAGAACATGCAGAAAATTTAATAAAACGAATCCTGATTTACAGAACATGAACAAGATAAAATGTACCAGAATTAAGAAATGAATAAAAATTTTACATTAAGTTTTCGATTTGTTCACCATTGCATTCTAAAAACTTCAAAATCCGTTGAAGTGGAATTATGTCAGTCCAATGGATCTATTTGTTCAAAGCATTGTACATCGTAAAAACCTAATCCCATGGCCTACACGTTAAAAGCGAGGGTAATTAAGCAATTCATATAATTAATGTGATCCCTCCTCAGTGTAGTGAGCCGGTGTCCCATCTGGTGGGTATTTTGCAGCATTTAATGGCTCATCGTAAATTAAAAAACTCACTTCTAACAAACAAAATACATTTTAATACCCTATTCGGAAAATGTTGCTATCGTTGTTACAAATAAAATAAAAGCTTTTGAATGCAGACAAAAAATATTTCTCAAAAAGATACCCAGATCTTTGGTAAATTTAAATGGATGCATCTTATGATATACAAAAATTTTATAAACGGAGCTGCAAGTTATTTGCTGCGCTATAAATCGAACCATTTGGATAGGCATGAAAATATACCAAAACGTTTATTACATTTTCTTCGTTTGAAGTAACACGCTTCAACATCGAAGCGTTAAAAATATTTCAGATCAATCCAATGTGGCGTTGGCAGTAAACTTCTACGGTGAAACACCTAGTGCAAAATGATATGGTAGACTATTAAAACCAAGGCATTTGTAGAATATCATCGAAAAGAACAGGGTCATTATCCATTACAAAATTGTTAATGAAAAATTACTTTCCGGAAGCTCATGCTTGGAGTATAACAGCAGATATTTTTGAGGTTTCTTTTATCAACAATATAGGGAAATGTGACATGATGTGCCTACTTACAGGTGGTCCTGTCTCTTGAACGCTTTCCCGCATACTGTGCAAACGTACTTCCTTTCATCGCTGTGCGTTAATTTATGTTTGGCCAATGCTGATGCGTTACCGAAGACCTTGGCGCAAACCTAAAATAAAAACGATTTACGAATTATCATATGTTATCCGACAAACGGGAGGGAAAATCCGGAAAATGCGATAAAAGAAAATTGGTAAAATTTTGCGTAGCTCCTGGATATTTTATGATATGTAAGTCGAAAATCCCTTAAATGTTACTCAAGGAATAGGATGTCTTTCCTCTTCATATATCCTCGCTGCATACGCCAAATCCATAGTATTCTTATAATTTTATCAAAACGTTTTTTTTTTTATTTTCTTTGTGAGACGGAGTATTTTTTAAATATATTTTCTGCTATAGTTTTTAATAAATATTTTAAAATTTATTACTTAATGAACTATGTTATACAGGGTGAGTCAACGATAGAGTAAAGTTCATTTTCTCATTAGGTTCAAAAGTTATATTTTGTAATTTTTCAACTTTTGTATTAGACAATAATACATAACTAAACCTAACGGTTTTTCCAATATTTTAATTTTTCTAAAAAAAAATCGGATCGAATCAAAAAAAATATTGGAAAATGATGTAAAAGGAGGTCTTAGATAGAAAGAGTTGCAAATAGTGGAAAAGTTAAACTAAGTCGCAAAGTGTTATAAATAGGTATATGACATACTATATAAAAGTGGTAGGATTTGGTGAGATCATTCAGAAAGAATACTAACATATATGATGTGCCATCTAAAAATATAGATGTTTTCCAATTTAAAATTATCCAAATTTTTGTTTATTTCGAGCACCCTGTAACATCTAAATCAAATTCCGATGCATATTTCTTTTAAGTCATTTTCTAATAAAGTTGATATTAAATATGAGTAATCTAGATTCAAAAATAATTGCTCTATCGTTTTTTTTTGCAAGTGGAGAATCTAGTATCTTTTTAGGAAAATTAACATATTGGAAAAACGACTAGGTTTAGGTATTCTATTATTAGGAATTCAAAAAGTCTGGTGTATTATTTCAAAAAATGTATGTTTCCTTCATCACACTTTTTTGACCCACTTTAAAATAATTTTAGATTATGCATCCCAACAGTCTTTACCATTTTCTCATAACTTTTGAAACCGATGAGATAATGAATTTTACTATTGTTGACCTTGTACTCAACGTGCATTATTATATTGTACTCAAGATATTACAATATTTATTCACAAATTATTGTTTGCATTTCCCTTTGTACAATTACATGCAGGAATGCATACTCAAAGGTTTTTAATGGGGTCTACTTTAAGACTTTTGGTCTTTTGCATCTTCTTGAGGTCTCTATGCTATAATGCGCTTACGCCACAATTATCTGATAATAACATTTATTATTTTTACGTCATCTGTCGAATAGTAAACAATTATCTTCAGTTCCTAGAATCAGACGAGGAACTTCGTTGCCATTCGGTTCGTCAAATATTCATTTTCAAGCAACACGTATAGGGTGGGCCGTTTATCTTGGGACGCAGCCTTATCTAAGAAACTATATGGAGTGGAGCCAAAAGTTAAATACAAAAGTTAATTGAGGTATTACAAAATTTTAATTTCTTTTAACTTTGTTTATACGGAGTGTTTACTTTTGGTATTGTAAATGGAACACCTAGTGTATTACTTCGTTTTTGAATTCTTTACAAAATTCTAGATATGTTTTGTGTATAATGTCTTATATCTAAGTCTAACTCTCAAAGTGGAGGACATTTTGAACAATGCAACAACTACAATAATTATTATCTTTTGCGAGCCATCAATTTTTATCGCGGATCCTTGGTCTTATTCTGCATAAATAATGCATAACTATCAACTATGAAATGGTAAATCATAGCGACAGACACTTTAGCACTTGTTTAATTCAAACGCGTTTATAGCCACTTAACTGAAAAGGAAATATTTCATAAAGTAAAATGTTTTGAATATACAACAATACAATAAAATATTAAACTGCCTTACATTTTAATGTTACATATGATTATAAAAATAGGTAATTTCCATTTAAAATAATAGTCGGAGCGTGAGCATTGAAGATGCCAAGTGAGATTTTGGCGAAACGTCTGCAGGATTCCAGTCGGATGCAAGAATTGCAGGATTCCAGTCGGATGCAGGATTCCAGTCGGAGTTCAACGAGCGAACGGATGATATCCCGGAATATAGTGTCATCATATATATATATATATATATATATATATATATATATATATATATATATATATATATATATATATATATATATATATATATATATATATATATATATATATATATATATATATATATATATATATATATATATATATATATATATATATGATGACACTATATTCCGGGATATCATCCGTTCGCTCGTTGAACTCCGACTGGAATCCTGCATCCGACTGGAATCCTGCAAATCTTGCATCCGACTGGAATCCTGCAGACGTTTCGCCAAAATCTCACTTGGCATCTTCAATGCTCGCGCTCCGAAAACACTTCGAACACTGCAGTGTTCGAAGTGTTTTCGGAGCGCGAGCATTGAAGATGCCAAGTGAGATTTTGGCGAAACGTCTGCAGGATTCCAGTCGGATGCAAGATTTGCAGGATTCCAGTCGGATGCAGGATTCCAGTCGGAGTTCAACGAGCGAACGGATGATATCCCGGAATATAGTGTCATCACATTTTTCCATCCGTGAATCAATACGTGAGAATATATATATATATATATATACAGTGTGTCCAAGATAAGGATGCACAGCATGGGGATCTCGGAAACTATAAGAGATACAGTGTCGGTTAAATTAGACAAAAGTTGCGCATTTTGATACCGAACAAGATCCCGTTTTACAAATTTGAAAATTCCAAGCCGTTCCGGAAATATCCGAGAAAAACCGAAATATTGCGATTTCGTTTTTATTATTTTTTAAAGCTATTTGAAAAGATATGAAAAAACGGAAAACACTTTTCCATTGGCACTTTTTAATCTCTCCAAATTGACGTTAACAAATTTTCATTACAGCGTTTCGATTCCATGGAACCACCATCAACTTTGATTTTTCTTATAGGACGGAAAAAAAGTACACACAGTATTAGGTTGTGCTTTTCATTGCGAATTCAACGATGTACGATACAATACGGTTACTTATGTTTTTATCCAGAAAAATGGCTTTTTAATACATTTCTAGTATTTTATTGTAGTAGGCCATGAGATCCGAACGATGAAAGGCAAAAGAAAATGGTTGACAAGTTCGAGTTAATGTGTTTATTTATTTACTAACTCTAACTGTTCATTTAACATAACAACTAAATCCAACAAGTTAATGAAAAACAAATTCTATAACAAATGTTCGAATAAATGACCTCCATTTTCTAGGCATAAGTACGCCCGTCTCACGGTAGACTCCAAAACACGACTTAACATTTCAGGAGTAATTTTATTAAACGCTGCTCGTACTGATTGACGTAATTGTTCCTCGTTGTCAAAACATTCTTTGAATACCTCATTTTTTATGTAGCCCCATAAGAAAAAGTCCAAGGGAGTTAAGTCCGGGGACCTTGGAGGCCAAGGTGTTTCACTGTAAGTCCCAATGTATTTTCCATCAAACCGTTCAGTTAAATATTGGCGAACTTCTCTGGAGTTATGGGCTGGGGCACCATCTTGTTGGAACCAGCAGCCTTGCACAGCGTCTAGCGGTAAATCATCTAAGGCATCTTCTAAATCGTGCCTCAAGATGTCAAGGTACCGCTCGGAAGTTAAGGAATTATTATAGAAAATAGGGCCTATAATCTTGCTACCAAAAATCCCACACCAAATATTAAACCCAAAGCGAACTTGATGTCTGGATAGTCTATTAACACGTGGATTTTGTTGCGACCAATAGTGTGTATTGCGCCTGTTATAAATACCGTTATTGGTCACCATACTTTCATCAGACGAAATCACTTTATATGGAAAATTAAAACTCTCATCACACATCCTGGTATACCACTCACAAAAATGTCTACGTCGTTCGTCGTCACCCGGTTTTAATCCTTGACATATTCTGAATTTGTAAGGCTTAAATTCATTTTTCCTTAAAATAAACTGAGCTGTAGATTTAGCTACCCCATTCTGGTCTTCAATTTCTCTGGTAGAAGTTTGTGGATTTTCGATAACAGATTGTAGAACAATGTATTGGTTTTCTTCATTGGAAGGTTTTTGTCGGGATAATGCAGGCTTCTTAAATGATCCATATTCTTTCAGATTAAATAACAAACGCCGAAAAATACTCTTGTCAGGTTGTCTCCGCTCTGGGTATTTGTTAGAATACATACGCTCGGCTTCCACACAATTTCTTTGGCATCAGATGTAGCAAGACAGCATATCACATTTTTCTTCGTTGGTAAAATTACCTCCCTCCATTGTGGAACAAAATAAATTAGAAAAAGACAACAACAATAAAAATACAAAAACAATAACTAAAGGAATAAACTTATGATCGACTGATAACAAAGACAAATAACATTAATGTATCATTGAAATTGACTGGATGTCATTTTGTCATGGCCTACTCCATTTAAATGCTGAAATGTATTAAAAATCCATTTTTCTGGATAAAAACATAAGTAACCATATTGTATCGTACATCGTTGAATTCGCAATGAAAAGCATAACCTAATACTGTGTGTACTTTTTTTCCGTCCCATAAGAAAATTCAAAGTTGATGGTGGTTCCATGGAATCGAAACGCTGTAATGAAAATTTGTTAACGTCAATTTGGAGAGATTAAAAAGTGCCAATGGAAAAGTGTTTTCCGTTTTTTCATATCTTTTCAAATAGCTTTAAAAAATAATAAAAACGAAATCGCAATATTTCGGTTTTTCTCGGATATTTCCGGAACGGCTTGGAATTTTCAAATTTGTAAAACGGGATCTTGTTCGGTATCAAAATGCGCAACTTTTGTCTAATTTAACCGACACTGTATCTCTTATAGTTTCCGAGATCCCCATGCTGTGCATCCTTATCTTGGACACACTGTATATATATATATATATATATATATATATATATATATATATATATATA